TGAGCGACGTCGAGCGCAAGATGCTTGCAACGCGGTGGGCAATCGAACAATAACGATACCACGATACTACGGACCACGGCCAACGCACTCCGTCGAGCGAGGGAAAGACAAAACGTCCGGGTTGCTCGTGTAGCCGCCGTAGGCGCCTCGGGCGTCGACGGATGACGGCGACGGCAGGTTTTGTTGACTTGCGGTAGATGGCGCCACAAATGATTCATACCCTTTTAGCGGCAATATTAGGCTTTTGAAGCGTTTCTGCATGCCTAAACAACAAGATTTTTTAAACTTAATCTTAAATCAAGCTTACAATTGCCTAACACTATCACTTACAAAAACCACTCCGAATAACGTCACACCACAGGTTTCATTTGCGGCCACCATGCGGCCGCAGGTTGGAAAAAAAATCGTTTTTTATTTTACGATTACGCAGCGAAATAGAGGTATTTTGGGGTATGGTGGCACTTTTTCTCTTACTTATGCCGAAGTAAACAATATAAAAAATACAAGCTGCCCATTCGTTCAGTGTTAAAATCATTGCACCGCCCCCTTAAAGGGACCATGAAATGATTTGAAAATCGAGTTTCATCCACCGCACGTCGTAAAAGGTGTGAAAAGAAACACAAAAACACAAACATAGGGAGCCAAAAAAATTATTTGCCATATAACTTTTAAAAGAAAACTGGACTCTTTTGCGCCTTCCTTCCTTCGCCTGTTCACTACGATGCATCCGCGGAAATGGAGCACGTCAGCCAAATCCAGGCAGGGGGGTAAAGGTGGGTGAGGAGGAGTGGCAAATCCCGTGCGCCGACATCCTGGGTCCCGAGTGAACGATCGCAAAAGAGAGCGACAGAACACGAGAGAAAGAAAGCAACGTTGCCATGGTAAACACGGAGAGTGAAAACTCTCAGCAATATAAACAGTGATAATTTAACGTTGTAAACTAAATTCTGAGCTATTCTAACGCTTATAAAAAGCAATAAAGTCATTACGCTGCATTAACTTCCCTTCTGTCGAAATCTCGGAAATCTGGTGGTTGCGCAGTTTCGTATTCCTCAACCGCGCCCAGCCGCGCCCCACCAGCGAAGCCGGGTATATGGTTTAGTTTAGCGTTAACGCGAGGCCGTACATCTGCGCGCTATGCAAAAAGAAACCTTCGAAAAGAACGCGAGTATCTTTCCACCGGTAAGTTCGTGGATTGTTGAAGTTCACGAAACTGCTCTGATGATGTAACCGTGTTTGGGACCCAGAGGGTCTGCCTGCATGGTCCGCCGCTTGCGGCAGCCAGAATGTATGGGAAAATGGCGGACCTTTTCCTCTAGATTTAGTATATGATCTCTACGAATCCAGGTCGCCTATTCGGTAAGAGCCTACCACACCAGCACCGCGATCGTAAACAATAAATAGCCGGCGAATGTTTCCTAAAAGTTTTATTAAATAATATTCAGATCCACATTTTGTAGCATAATTAGAGATGTGTGGCGAAAATTGCCAAATTTGATAGGATGGATGGATGGATGGATGGATGGATGAATACGGCTGAGCCCTTTGGATCGGGCGGTAGCTTACGCCACCTAGAGATAATGCTGAGAGCCAAGCGCCATCTATCGTGTGGTAAACGAAGCAACTACTGCGCGTGCGCAGTAGGGCAGGGCCGACAGTTACTTGGGTGGCGGCGACCGACGAACATTTATTTTCTTTGTTTTCCTTCCTCTCAAAACTCTGACTGACTGAACGTTTATTTTTCCACGTGTTCTTCCCGCGCGTGCCGACTTCAAGCAGCAAGAAAACAGTACTTAAAACAGACCACGACGAACAAGAACGCTGGATCCACCGACTCCGACGAAGCGAGCTGCTCAGAATATAGGCCTAGCAGGCATTCCGACTCGGCGCTGCGTTGCTTCGTCGCAAGACCGTCTGCCTACGACCGGCTGGCGTGCTAAATGGAATATGCCCGCGCGACCCTTGTGGACCCTTCCCGTATTATAGTTTGATCACTGACCTCAATTCTAGATTAAGAGGTGAGGTCAATCTCTTCCCCTTGTTTTCCGAGGCAGTGTTGACGAACACTCGTCGAAAAGGGACTCTCGTCGATTCTATCTTCTTGTTTTGTGTGATATAGAGCTGAAATAAACGCAGTATGGATTACCTTCGTAACACGGTATGTACACTTTGTTATTGGTATGCCATTTTTATTCTGACAGACTGCACGTCACTGTCGAGCTATAACAGTTCGTGGGAGGTATACGTACAACCCCGGTCCAACCTTTCTTTGCAGAGTGTCGCGTCAGTATCGAGTTGCAATCGTAAAAGAACGGTCCCGAAGCGCTTACAAACAACGCGAATACAGCACTTCCATCAAGCGCGCGCGTCCGCTCCGAGTGTAAACAGGTATTTACGTGGCTCTTGCTGACACTCGTAGTTCAAACGTATCTTTTTTAACGTCGGCTCGCTCCTGCATCTCCGAGGCCGCGAAAAACGCCATCTACGTCGCTTTGCAAACGACTGACACGGGCCGGCCCTTCTGCCAACAATGACAGGGTGGTTGACTTCTGGAGTCTTCACCGGAAGACTCGCTGCACTTCCCAACAGGCGTACCGGCGTATGGGACTAGTCCCATGCTCTCGCTGTAGCGCAACATATCTCATTGAATTTCGCTCAGCTGCGATGCGGCGATGAGAGGCGCCGATTCAGGAAATACGTCGGTGACATCAGCGCAGTAAAACCTACCGGCGCACCCCAACTCGTTGCCGTTAACCATTCTCCTACTGCCGAGAGAACTTCCGGTTCCGGAAACGGCCTACGTCACGGCTTGTTTTGCGGTCAGTTGGAGAGAATGAAAAAGTCGATATTTCAATAATTTTTTGTGTAGAAGTTAATAAACCGAGACGAAAACGGATGCCTGTTCGGCATTCAGTGAACATTGACGGTTTAATGTAAAAGTTATCTGGAAAAAGTAAAAAGGTCATTTTATGGTCCCTTTAAGCACACGAAGGGGCGTCAGTTCACGTCGAACGCTAATGCAGCATTCGAGTTTAATAGGCGCTGAGCCGAGATCACAGTGATGGCTGACATAACATTCTTGTCGAACAAATGCCCAAAGTATGAAGGCCTTGGGTAATTAGAGTAGTAGCTACTGTAATTTGTTTCATCACAATTTGGCAAACGGCGAAGGCTACAGTCTCGATGAGTCAATATGCACGCTGGAGAGAGGCACATGACAACATATCATCAGAATTCTCATCTCCACAAATTTGTTACACACCTTCAGTCCATCTCTTTGATTGGCTCGAGGGGGCTGTGGCAGTTGCCCTCTTCCGAAGTCTAGACAGCCCACACTTTTGAAAAAAATAAATTGAAGAGACTGAAAGGAATGGTAGCCAACATTTTTCAACAAAACTGCTCTTCGGGCAAGAGACGAACACAAATATAAGTTACCTTGTCTAGGCAATTAGAACAAGTAAATAATTGACCGACTAATACAATACACCCTTGATGAAAACATTATTGCTGCAATAAATCCTATGAAAGAAAAATGTGCAGTTAATCTTCTATTTCCGAGTTGCATCATATTTAACGAATTGCTGATATGTGTGTCTCTATCTCTGGGCCTCTAAAGAGTGAGGCTGCATTTTGTTTTAAAGATTCTAGATGTTAGAATGATTAATTAGACAACCACCCCAGAGGAGTATGATCATACACATTGAGGTTACTGTGGACTATTGATATCGATCGGCAAGGTAAAGAGCCTAGTAATACTAATTTCTAAGGGACATTGAAGGCAACATTTTGTGCACCGATCAAAAATAAATGTGAAGACTTGCTATGTTCCGAGTTTCAAGGGGGCAAATAAACTGTTTTATTAACACGAGTAATAAACTTTTTTCCGAATGATTAGTTCAAATGCTTTGTAAGAGTTCGCGTGCACGTCAATTAGGCAAACACCAGCTTTTCACTCCAAAAAAGTATTGCGGTCGAATGTAGAATCGCCGATTAGCACAAAATATTAAAGATCGCAGGAGCTTCCTTGCTAAAGTTGGTGTGATTACGCAGTTACCTAGGGCTGCCCTGTTGGAAAATATCGATGATGGAAAGATGACGGAAAAGGCTCATACAAGCGTAACCGTAATATGGGACATCCTATACAAGCGAAAAAGGCGGCTCCAGTATAGTGGGATAAGGCGGAACGATACAGGTGGGCGGAACCATACAAGCGTGTCATATTATGGGACATCCTATACCAGCGTAGTGGATTAAAGGGCCGCCCACACTAGCGAGAAAACGCGCCCGGCGCGCCGATAAATCGGTTAAGCGGGAAGATAAAGGGCGTGTCTCTGCACGCGCTCGTGGCGCTGACTGTGCTTCGGCGACATTTTGTTACTTGCCGTGATCGGCGTGCCACGCGCGTTTTCTCGCTAGTGTGGGCGGCCCTTAAGGCGGAACCATGGAGGTGGACGGAACCATACATGCACAACGTAATATGGGACATCCTATACCAGCAAAAAGGCGATACCAGCATGGTGGAGCCATATGGCTCCAGCATGTTGGTTTCGATGGCTCCACCATGCTGGTTTCGCCTTTTCACTGTTGTACAGGGCGATTTAGTTTTAAGCTTTGCATATATGTTTAGAAAGATCGTGAAAGCTAAATTAATGCAGTTTGTGCAGGCGAGTTATACGGCCAGGCGTACGTAGTATAGGGACCTAGTCGTAACGATCAGTCAGATAATTAAATACAATTTGTTAATCAACTTTTTAATTAGTGAAAATGAAAATATGGTTTCAATTAGAAACTTGCTGAGTCATTGAAAACCACAAAATCAAGTTTTTTTAGAAGGATATAATGCAGGGGTAGCGTTTTATGCATTCTGTAAAAAGCTTTATTTGGATGAGTTTCTAGTAGGGCTGGGCGTCGATTAAAATTTTTAACCCGATTAATCGCCACCCTTTAATCGATTAATTAATCGATTAATCGGTTGATTTTAGTAAAAAGCAAAAGTAGACATTTTGTCCTTACAATTTGTTTTATTGTATGATAAACGGCGCATATATACAAACTTAATTGAGAATAAACGTTGATGTAACGCACTCACAGATCACAACCCCAGCTGCGGAGGCAAAGAAGTTTGTTGACATTTTCCGGCAGGAGCGAGTTTCTTTGTTTGTTGACGATCATCCCTGCTGCACTGAACAGACGCTCGCAGGGCGTTGAGGTGACTGGGACACACATCACACTCTTTACAATTGGCACAATTTGAGGAAACAGGGAGCCCCGAGCTCGCCACCACTGTAGGGGGTCCAGTTCATCGTCCGTCACCTCGGCCATCGATCGATAAAGCGACACTTGGCAGGAGATGGTGGGCTCTTCGTTTTCCTCCGAGAAAACGTATTTTCTTTTTTTCTTGGGCGTCAGATCAGTAGAATCGTCGTCCGAAGACGCATGTGTTAGCTGGGAAAGCCTTTCCCACACAAGTTCGCGGCGATCTTTTTCGATGCATGCGAGGCTCTTGAAACGAGGATCGAGACACGTTGCCAGTTCATAGTCGTTGTACCGCGGCCACGCGTGAAGCCTCTCATCGATAGAGTCCACAAGCATGGCCTTGAAGCGGCAGATGAAGGCAGGGTCACAGTCATTTGTCTTCATTTTATTCTTTAGCAGTTTTAAGGCTGGAATAAGTACAGACCGAGTAACGTACTTCTTCCCTCCAAGGAGCTCAGTAATGTCGAGCAGGGGCTTCAGAACTTCCCGAAGCTGCTCCAACATGTCCCAATCGACGTCTGTGAGGTGAGGAATCGACGATTTAATGGTACTGCTGTCCTCCATGGAGCGGCGCAAAGGCTCCTTCAGTTCAAGCAGGCTGGTTATCATTATGTACGTGCTGTTCCACCGTGTTGCGATGTCCTGCTGAAGCTTCTTCTTAGGTGCTCCGAGTTCAGCGGCATGTTTTGAAAGGACGGCCTGGTTGTTCGAACTGTGTTTAAAGTGACCCACAGTACGACGACAGGCGGCTAGCAGTCGCTCCACGCCCGTCACGCTGAGCGCCTTGTGGACGCACAGCTGAAGCGTGTGAGCTGCGCACTTCAGACTCTGAAAGTTTGCTCTCTCCACCCCAAGACAGATGTTGCGGGCATTATCGGTACAGACAGCTTCTACCTTTTCAACGATTCCCCAATCTGTAGCAGTCTCCAATACCTCACTGGCACATTGATCTGCCGTATGGCGCTCAGGTACCTGTCTCACCTGCAATGTTGCCAATCGAAGCATCCAGTCGTCGTCGATCCAATGCGCCGTTATCCCGAGGTAGGCGTCATTGGCGATGGAGGTCCAGAAGTCCGCTGTTAAGCTGATGAAGCTGGCTGCCGAGAGTTCTGCTTGAAGACGCTCCCGTCTCGAGGTATACAGGGCATCCACCTTGGCACTCACTGCACGACGGGACGGCGGCTGGTAAGACGGAGAATCCAAGGCAATCTGAAGAACTTTCGCTAGTCCGTGATCTTCCACAATGTTGAGAGGCCGGCTAGAAGAAACAAGCCAAGATGTAAGGGCTTGTGCAATAGTTTCTTCTTTCTTCAGAGAAACCGGCCTCGAAGAGAAAACGTCGATAGTCGTCTGCTTTTTTGCAGATGATTCTTGTTGCAGCGAGATGCTTGGGTGCTTAGCTCTGAGATGGTATTGAAGCGAGCTTACACTTCCGCTATATGCGAAAGCTTTTTTGCAGATGAGGCAGTGAACTTTCTTTAAGTCAGAAACTTCGCCCGCGGAGTTTACTTTAAACCCGAATTTCCCTGAAAGGTTGCCCTTCATACTCCTGTATTCGTCCATGCCTGCGCAGGGTGTTGTGATGAGATACTTCTCAAACAAGTGACTGCGGCGCGACGTGAAGGGAAGGGGAAAGACGGGGGCAAGGAGACGGGGATAATTGGGGAGCGTCGATCCTTCGAGGACGTCTCTGAAGGTGTTATAGACGCTTTCAGCGAGTCAGTTACTCGAGCTGCCACCAGTCGGCGCGCCCTTCGCGCGCTTTCCGGGCCGCCATAGCCGACCTTCAGCTTCGTTTTCGTGTTCTTTTACGTTCCGCGTTGAAATCTTGTATTTTCTTTAGGTCTTTTCGATATTTAGGACTTTCATTTAATCATTTGATATTTTGACATAGCTCTTGTATTTTCTTATTTATGGAATGGAATCGGACAGCGAATGGGTCGACGATACAAGATTATGAGGCTTCAATGACCATGTAAGTTCATCCCATTCTTACGTTTTTGTTGCTAATAAAGGGCAGCCAACACTATTGCGACATATGTAAATTGCAACTCACAGTAAGGCTATCACAGTCGGGCTTTTCGCTGCATGTGCGCGCTCGTTTCCGTAAAGCCGACCCGCATGTAAGCGATTTAGCGTGCGACGAGACGAGCGACGGAGATTTCTCACCGTCCGCCCGTCGCATCTCTCGGTTATGGGATTTCTAGAAAACGTCGCTCACCGTCTTGGTCACTTGCTCCGTCGCTTCCATGCGGTTTGCCTCGTCGCGCGAGGCGGGTCGCCGTCGCTTATCTGGTTGCTCGCCAAATCGCTTACATGCGGTTTATACTCAATTAATTTCCATGCACACAGCATTGAACCATTGGCGCCTCGATATTAAGTATAAGCCGCATGCAAGCGATTCGGCGAGCAACGAGACGATCGACGGTGACCCGCTTCGCTGTCGCTCGGGCAGTCGCGCGACGAGGCAAACCGCATGGAAGCGACGGGAGCAAGCGACCAAGACGGAGAGCGACGTTTTCTAAAAACCCCAAAAACCGAGCGATGCAACAGGCGACAGTGAGAAATCTTCGTCGCTGACTCTCGTCGTTGTCGCCGTCGCTCGTCTCGTCGCACGCAAAATCGCTTACATGCGGGTCGGCTTTACGGAAACGAGCGCACACATGCAGCGAGAAGCACGACTGAATCGCCTTACTTCGTCAGTTGAAATTTGCGTATGTCGCAATGGTGTTGACTGCCCTTTATTAGCGAGAAAAATGTTAGAATGGGATGAACACATGGTCTCTGAAGCCATATTCTTGTATCGTCGATCCATTCGCTGTCCGATTCCATTTCATTACTAAGAAAATACAAGAGCTACGTTGAAATATAGATATGAAATGAATAAATGAAAGCCAGAAATATCGAAAAGACCTAAAGAAAACACACGATTTCAACGCGGACCGTAAAAGAACGCGAAAACAAAGCTCCGGTAGTGGCCGGTGCAGCACATAACGCGGAGGAACGGCGAAAAACTGAAGGGCGGCTATGGCGGCAGGGTCACGTGACGTCAAGATGGCGGCGCCCATGAAATGTTGCCTGAAAGGGTCTATAGGAGTAGTACATGAAGGACAAAAACAGGATGAAACATCCTCGTCGTTCATGTAACTTTACCAGCACGCTCTAATTCCACGACGTCCTTGAAGCTTTCAACAAACAGAAAATCCCCGGCGAAGGAAAGACCCCTTTTTACAGGGAAAAGGGAAACGAGCCCATCCAGCTGCGCTCGGCGCCAACTCGTCAAAGACGACGAGAGAACGGGGGAACATCTGGAAGCACTTTGCCACGGGCAGTGCGGGTCCGCCAAGGTCGTTGCGTCAAGAGGCAAAAGCGAAGTCGAGAGAGAAATTCCAACCACACAAATAAAAGACAGGGTCGAATACTGAAGCAAGCCACGACCACGGCCGGCTTTGCACCACGCTGAACGAGCGGAGAGACGAGCGAGGTCACGTTGTAGTGACCGCAAGGACGGAGCATAACCCACAATGGGGATCAAGGCAGCCTTCGGAAGAGCTCTAGCTTTGTCTCTGCAAACCCGTAAGCCAACCAACCCCCCCCCCCCCCCCCCCCCCCATGCTTGCGTGCCTTCAAAAAAAAAACAACTGCTGCGTGTGCTCAAATCATGACCAAGGTCACCGGACTTCCGTAAAGCCTGCTTTCATTCCGCTTCTGTTTTCGCTTTTTTCTTCCAATCCCGCGTGACTCACGACGAATGATTTGTTTGTTGGCTGTTACCTACGAGGTGAACAAGGAGCAAGTTCGTATGTTCGTTTTAGAGGGAACGGCACCAGGAGAAAGGAAAAAAACGTATATTTACTTACTTTTGTTCGCCTCATTTTAACCGATTAACTGGTTAAAAAAATTGATCGCGATTAAAGCATTAATCGATTAATCGGAAGGTTAATCGATCAATTGCCCAGCCCTAGTTTCTAGGTTTCAGTTTCTTATCAGAGCTCATCTCCGCGCCCACGGTCCTGTTCCCCAGGGGCTTAGACACGCAACACACGTGCGCCTTGCTTCCCTTCATCCTACGAGGGAGGCGAGGGGGCGGCTTCGCACTGTGGCCACTGGGCAGCTGGACCGCAGGTGCAAAGATGCGCTCTGGTAAGAAACCGAAGTCTGGAAACGCGTCCAAATTGACCATTTTTTTTAGAACGCCATAAAATGCTACTCTTGTCTTATATCTTTACAAAGAAAATTGATTTAGTGTGTTTTGATGATGCTTAGCAAGTTTCTAATTGGAACCATGGGTCTATTTTAACTGATTAAAAATTTCACGAACATACTATACTCAGAGAGAGGCTGAAGCAGTTTTCTATTTGAGAAAACACTTAAATCTTCTTCATTCGACCTCCAGAATCTCAAATATCAAAATTATTTGCTAATTTAATTAATCGAGGCTGCATAGTCATTTTTAAAGCGCTGTGAAAGCACTTCCCTAGAGAGCGACGTCACAAGAGCAGCTTTCAAAATCTTTGTTCACGCATCTTCAGCGCCTATCAAAGCTATATGCACGCACATGCTATTTTTTAAAAGGGCAGAAAAATGTGTCACGACTGGTGCCAATGCCGGAGAATATACCTAGAAAACTTGCAATTGGACGAGCGGCCCTTAAGCGACACACGCTTGGCGGCCGAAAGGTCTTCTTACGATGTCACTGTTGGTAGGATGTTTTTGTGTGTTTTTTGACGTTTAGTTATATCTTTGAGGAAAACGAACGGGATATTCAGATTCGCGGGATAAAACTACGCTAGAATGAACCTCCATCTAGTTTTCTGAAAGAAGTCTGGCACATCTCTGTAATAAGCCGACGGATCATTACAAATTAGCCTTTTATACTATGCCGCCCTGGCCATATAACTCACGTGCACAGACCGTGTAAATGTAGCTTTTACGGCTTTTTTTAAAAAAATCTGTAAAACATAGAAAAAAACACTCTGTAGAATGTCCCCCAATACGATACGATTGTATGGTTCCTTCCCCGCTTGCATTGTTCAAGAAAGACTTGTGGACATCCAGCATTTCATTGGAATGCTGGATGTCAGCGAGTCTCTTCATCAGTGAGTGGTTTCAAACAAGCATGATGTTTGCACACCAGTAAGCTCTTATCCGAGGCTCACCAAGAGCACTAAGAGCAGAGGCGAAATGTCGTGACCTGGTAAATTTGGTTGCAGGTATTTATTTTTACAAGAACTGCATGCAGCAAAGCTTAACTTTGCTCAAAAGAAGATTATTAAAAATTCAATACTGAACAATGGTGTCCCTTGAGCTGTCAGACCAAACTCCCACTCTTGCCACTCAGGAGTTCCTAACTTGTGCGTAGAGGATCAGCACAACCCAGATTTGTGCTGCGAGCGCACCTGCAATATAAAAGTTTAATAAACATGAGATGAAATATGAGACGTTTACAATTCTCTGTAACGTGAAATTAGAGCACAGATCTTGAAGAGGAGGATGGGAGGGTATGCCCCTCCTCCCCCTCCCCTCCTCCTCTTCTGCTCCCTCCCATTTAGCGGGAAATTTCCCTGAATTTAGCGGGAAAATTTCCCCACTAAATTTAGCTGGTAAGTTTCCCCCTAAATTTAGCGCAGAAATTGATGTCACATGACCTCAACACAAATGCAGTTTTTCCGCTAAAAGTAGCGGGGAAAATGACGTCGCATGACCGTGTCACGTCATCCACAAAAAAATTCAGTTTCTCAGCTAGACTTAGCGGAAATATTAACGTCACATGACCACCACATTAATTCAATTTCCTGCCAAGTTTAGTTGGGCGGTTACGCCGACAGCGACGCC